GAATGCAAAAGTTGGAAACAAAGAAGTATCATTGGTAGTTGGAAAATATGGCCTTGGTGATAGAAATGATGCTGGAGATTGCATGATAGAATTTTGCAAGACCAATGACTTACTCATTGAAAATATCTTTTTTTCAACAACATAACAGTGGCTGTACACATGGACTTCACCAGATGGAATACACAGGAATCAGATGGACTACATCTGTGCAAAAAGGCAGTGGAGAAGCTCTATATCTTTAGCCAAAACAAGGCCAGGAGCTGATGGTGGAACAGACCATCAACTGCTCATATGCAGTTTAAGTTGAAGCTGAAAATAACTAAAACAACTCCACGAGAGCCAAAATATGACATTGATTACTGAATTTACAGACCAAATAAAGAATAGATTTGATGTACTGAACACAGTGACCAAAAACCAGACGACTTGTGGAATGACATCAAGAACATCATTCATAAAGAAAGCAAAAGGTCATTAAAGAGACAAAAAAAGAAGAAAAGACCAAAATAGATGTCAGAAGAGACTCTGAAACTGCTCTTGAATGGAGATTAGCTAAAGCAGATGGAAGAAATGATCAGATAAAATTGCTGAACAGAAGATTTCAAAGAGCAGCTTGAGAAGACAGTTATTTTAATGAAATGTGCTAAGTCCTGGAGTTAGAAAACTAAAAGGGAAGAAAATGCTCAGCATTTCTCACGCTGAAAGAACTGAAGAAAAAATTCAGACCTTGAGTTGCAATATTGAAAGATTCTATGAGCAAAATATTGACTGCTGTAGGAAACATCAAAAGAAGATGGAAGGAATACACAGAATCACTGTACCAAAAAGAATGGGTCAGTGTTTATCTCTTTCAGGAGGTGGCATATGATCAAGAACCAATGGTATTGAAGGAAGAAGTTGAAACTACACTGAAGGAATTGGTGAAAAACAAGATTCCAGGAATTGACAGAATGCCCACTGAGATGTTTAAACAAACAGATGGTGCACTGGAGGCACTTAGTCATCTATGCCAAGAAATTTGGAAGACAGCTAGCTGGCCAGTGGACTGGAAGAGGTCCATATTTGTACCAATTCCAAAGAATGGTGCCAAAGGGGCAGGGAGGCACCATCTTCTGACTTCCTCTAACCACACAAGAGGAAGATAGAATCACTATCAATAGCCCAAAACCTATTCCTGCAAGGTCATACATGCTGCCTCCCTCCAGCCCTTTCACCGACTGTTCCTCACGCAGCACCTACCACCTCTCTGCTGGGTTCAATAATTTGCTGCAGTGGCCACACAGAACTTACAGATTATGGGGTTTAATTGGGAAGCACCAGGCTACAATTCAAGTTCAGGAACAACACTCAGTCTCATCCCACCGTTTCTCAGCCAACAGTCTCTCACAGTCTCTCTCCCAGCAGTGCATGTCTCTCAGTGTCTGTCTCAGCAATGCATGTCTCTTGCATCTCTTTCCCAGCAGCTCGTGTCTCTCAGGAGTGTATTTCTCTCAGCAGCACATCCTTCTCAGCCAGCAGTCAGAGAGACTTGTGCCTCTAGGAAGCCTCCTTTTGAGCCTGGTAGAGTGGCCAAACTAACTAATCATAACATCAGAATTCTAAGGACCTGAGAGACAGCAAACTTCCCAGAACATTGCTTTGTGCCAGTCTCAACAGAAATACCTCAGGTGGATAACTTTAATAATCAGGAGCTCCTCAGTTGCTCACAGCAAATTCCACCACGGAGTTTACAAAGATTTATGGCTAGAAAAGCCATACCAGTGTAATTTACTACACCGCAAATGGTGATCCAACAGAATATGGAAATTAGCAAACAATATCATTAATATCACATGCAAGTAAAATTTTGTTGAAGATTATTCAAAAGTGGTTGCAGTGGTATATTGTCAGGGGACTTCCAAAATGCAAGTTGGATTCAGAAGAGAATGTGGGACAAGGGATGTCATTGCTGATGTCAGATGGATCTCGGCTGAAAGCAAAGAATACCACAAAGATGTTTACTTGTGTTTCGTTGACTGTGCAAAAGCATTTGACTCTGTGGATCATAACAAATTACGGATAACTTTGAGAAGAATGGGAATTCTGAAACATTTAATTGTGTTCATGAGGAACCTGTACATAGACCAGGAGACTGTCATTTGAATAGAACAAGGGAATACTCTGTGATTTAAAATCAGGAAGGGAGATGTCAGAGTTGTATCCTTTCACTGTTCTTATTCAATCTTTTTGCTGAGCAAATAATCAAGAGGCTGGACTATATGAAGAAGATTGTGGCATCAGGATTGGAGGAAGACTCATTAACAACCTGCAATATGCAGATGACACAATCTTGCTTGCTGAAAGTGAAGATGACTTGAAGCACTTACTGATGAAGATTAGACTACAGCCTGCAGTATGGATTACACTTC